GAGCGAACGGGATTTTCGACCTGGGTCGCACATGCGGCCACCCCCTCTGCACGTGCGGACATGGACGACACGTGCGGTCCCTCTCCACCGCTCGAGCAGCCAAAAATAGTATGCTCTCCCATTTTTTTCCTCTTCTCTGCATGTCACGACCCGAACCCGCCCCCGTGGGTTAAGGACGTAACCGGCCAGTAATCATGAGATTACCTACGGCCTCAAACTGTTCTAAACGTATTTTAACAGAGTTAATGGGGGCCAAACGGAAGCAAAATTAAAAACTTTGTCCATAGAGCCGTGCTTATATGCACATCAAACAAACCATACTCAGATACGCTAATAACTCACATCAAAAGTACAGCTTCACAAAATTCATTACAGACAGGATCGTCCAAAACGAGTCAACCTATAACAGACTATGTACAGACATGCACTAGGTCCTTGCCAACAAGACAAAACATAGGTACATAGTAAAAGGGCAAGGATGGTCTCCCTTCTCTCAACTAAGTTCTTCCTCCAGGAGATATTTCAATAAGCTTCTAAGTCAAAATGATCCAAGAACTTTGATATATAGAGATATTTCTATAAGGGTGAATAAGACAAAAATTCAATCGTTTAAGCATCCTAAATTGAAATTCCACAGAAAATCCCATTATAGCTTAAAAATCATGGAGATTTCAAATGTCAAATCAATTTCAGAAAATTAAGTCTCTAAGGCTTCCAATTCCGGATTCAAACAGTTTAAGTGCGACAGATAATTTTCTTATTCAACAGATAGGAATCCATATTTCCAAGTTTCATTTAATTCAATGTAGTTTCACATAGAATTTCATAATAAGCATTCAAAAACACAGAATAGAGGACTGAAAAGATACCAGAATCATGTACGAGGGTCGGGTTATTACACTCTCCCCCCCATTAAATAAGTTTGGTCCTCCAAACTTGTTTTACCTTAGGACGGAAATAGATGCGGATATTGGTGTTGCATTTCATCTTCCTTTTCCCAAGTTGCCTCGCTTCCGTAGTGCTCTTGCCATTCCACTTTTACCATTGGAATTTCTCGGTTCCATAACTGTTTTACTTGATGGTCCAGAATTCGAATTGGTTTTTCCTCGTACGTTAACTTGTCAGTCAACACAATTTGGTGATAATCAATAACATGTGACAGATCTGAAAGGTATCCTCGAAGCATAGAAACATGGAACACGTTATGAATCTGACTTATATGTGGTGGAAGAGCAACTCGGTAGGCTACTGGACCCACTTTTTCTAAGATCTGAAAGGGACCAACATATCGGGGTGTTAGCTTACCCCTTTTTCCGAATCTTGGATGTCCTTTGATTGGGGTAACTTTCACAAAAACATGACTATCCACGTCAAACTCCAAATTCCTTTGCCGGCTATCTGCATAACTCTTCTGTCTACTTTGGGCAGTTTTCAATCTTTCTCGAATAATTCTAACTTTTTCAGTTGTCAAATGGACAATCTCTGGCCCTAACAATGCCCTATCTCCAACCTCAGCCCAACACACGAGAGAACGACACGGTCTTCCATACAGAGCTTCATAGGGTGCCATGTCAATACTCGAATGGTAACTGTTATTATATGCAAACTCGACCAACGGCAGATGAGTTTCCCAACTTTCCTGAAAATCCAGAACACACATTTGAAGCATATCCTCTAGCGTCTGAATCGTCCTCTTGGATTGTCCATCTGTTTGAGGGTGGAAGGCTGTGCTAAACTTTAATTCTGTATCTATTGCATCCTGTAGACTTTGCCAGAACCTTGAAACAAACTTTGGATCTCTATCTGACACAATTGAGACCGGAACACCGTGAAGCCTTACAATTTCATTCACATAGATCACAACAAGTTTATCTGCATTATATTGGGTCTTCACAGGCAAAAAGTAGGCAGACTTAGTCAATCGGTCGACAATGACCCATATAGAATTCATACCTCGTGGTATCTGTGGTAAGCCTACAACAAAATCCATGGTCAGATGTTCCCATTTCCACTCCGAGATTGGAAGGGGTTGTAATAATCCTGCGGGTTTCTGATGCTCTGCTTTTACCTGCTGACATTGCAAACACTTAGAAACAAACTTTGCGATTACTTTTTTCATACTTGGCCACCAAAAATTTTGCTTCAAATCCCGGTACATTTTAGTACTTCCTGGATGCATTGAAACTCTTGAGGCATGTGCTTCTTCCATCCATTTTCGTTTAAGTTCTAACACATTAGGGACGCATACTCAGTTTTGAAATTTAAGCACAGAATCCGTCAAAGTGAACCCCAGTTTCGGTTTTGTCTCCATTTCATCACGTATCTTCTTTAGAGCTCCATCTTCCATTTGGCGTAATTTAATCTCTTCAAGTAATGTCGGTTGGGCCATCATTGTTGCCACTGTTGCTTCTTGACCATGTATCATCAAGTCGACTCCCATCTTATTCAGCTCACTTACCAACTCCTTTTTTTCTGTCAATAGATTTGCCAAATTTCCCACATTTTTCCAACTAAGTGCGTCTGTCACCGTGTTGGCTTTACCAGGATGATAGTGGATTTGCAAATCATAATCCTTAATAAGCCCCAACCACCGCCGCTGGCGCATATTTAACTCTTTTTGGGTAAAAAGGTATTTAAGACTTTTATGGTCGGTATAAATGTCGCAAGTAGTCCCATACAGATAATGCCGCCAAATCTTTAAAGCAAAAACTACTGCGGCTAGCTCAAGGTCATGCGTGGGATAATTCTTCTCATGAGGTTTAAGCTGTCGAGAGGCATAAGCGATAACTCTTCCGTTTTGCATAAGCACACAACCAAGTCCCTTATGTGAAGCATCACTGTAAATCACAAATCCCTCAGTACCAGATGGTAGTGCAAGGACCGGAGCTGTAGTTAACTTCATTTTTAATTCTTGGAAAGCAGATTCCCGCGGTTCTGACCATTCAAATGCAACTCCCCTTTTAGTCAACCGTGTGAGTGATACAGCAATTTTGGAAAAATCTTGAACAAATCTTCTGTAATATCCGGCTAACCCCATAAAACTACGCACTTCAGTCACATTAGTCGGAGTCGGCCAGTTCACAATCGCCTCAATTTTGTTTGGATCAACAGAGACTCCTTCCTTAGTTATAATATGCCCCAAAAATGCCACTTCACGTAGCCAGAATTCACACTTCTTTAGCTTTGCGTACAACTTCTTTTCTCGGAGGGTTTGAAGAATTGAACGAAGATGATTCTCGTGAGCTTCTGCATTCTCTGAGTAAATGAGGATATCGTCAATAAAGACCGCTACAAACTCATCTAGATAAGGTTTGAAGACACGGTTCATCAGATCCATAAATGCTGTTGGTGCGTTAGTAACTCAAAAGGGCATAACTAGAAATTCATAATGACCGTATCGGGTTCGGAAAACTGTCTTCTCAACATCATTAGCTTTAACTTTCAATTGGTGGTATCCGGACCGTAAATCAATTTTGGAAAAGACCTGTACCCCTTGTAATTGATCAAATAAATCGTCGATCCGCGGTAATGGGTACTTATTCTTGATTGTTACTTTATTAAGCTCCCGATAGTCTATGCATAATCGGAGTGTTCCGTCTTTCTTTTTCACAAACAGGACTGGTGCACCCCACGGAGAAACACTCGGGCGGATAAACCCCTTATCCAGTAGGTCTTGCAACTGAATCTTCAATTCCCTCATTTCAGCTAGTGCCATTCGATACGGGGTTTTAGAAATGGGTTGGATTCCCGGTAGCACTTCAATCGTGAACTCGATTTCATGGTCCACTAATTCTCCTGGCAATTCTTTCGAAAAGATGTCCGAAAAGTCACAGACAACTGGGATCGCATCAGTATTCTCATTCATTATTGGCCCTTCCAAAACACTACATAAGTACCCCTGACACCCTTTCTGAATTAATTTACAAGCCCTTGGTGTAGAAATCACATACGGTGGAGAAGTTACTCCTGCCCTTGAAAAGTAGATTCTGATTGCCCCGGAGGGTGGAATTTGATTTGCTTTGTCAAACAGTCTATAGTGGCACTATATTCACCCAACCAATCCATTCCCAGAATAATAACAAAAGAAGTCATATCAAGTGGTAATAGATTAGCATATACACGGATATCCCCAATGAGAAGTTCACAAGCAGAATAGACAGAAGTACAGATCATGGAATTTTCCATAGGTGAAGATACACACAACACATAAGTCAATTCTTCTCCAGGTTTATCAAATTTTTTCGCAAATAATTTTGACACAAAGGAACAGGTAGAGCCAGAATCAAATAAGACGTAAGCAGAATGACCATGAACCATAAATGTACCTGACACCACTGTTGTTGCATTCTGTACATCTCCCGGAACCAACGCAAATACCCTGCCTTGCCTCGTAGTGTCCTTATTGTTAGCAGGCTTAGCAGCTGACTTAGCATTAGAAGCCGGTGTAGACCCTGCTAAACTTGTGGCGGCCTTATTACCAGTTTGTTGGTTCTTTTGCAGACAGTCTTTTATCAAATGACCCGTTTTGCCACATCGAAAGCACGCTCCAGACAATCAGTGACAAATCCCACGATGCCTCCATCCACATTCTGGACACACAGGAGCTGAATTTTGAGGAGAAGTAGTGGTGCTGGAGGTCCCTGAATTTTGCTTCTTGTTTGGTGGAGTAGTTGACCCCTTGAACCATTGGTTGTTCTGCCTCTTTCCTTTCCATTCAGAAATCCGAGTCTGAGCAGCAATATTCCATTCAGCTATAACAGCCCTTTCTAACACATCAACGTAGGTAGGAAAGTAGTGGTGCTGGAGGTCCCTGAATTTTGCTTCTTGTTTGGTGGAGTAGTTGACCCCTTGAACCATTGGTTGTTCTGCCTCTTTCTTTTCCATTCAGAAATCCGAGTCTGAGCAGCAATATTCCCTTCAGCTATAACAGCCCTTTCTAACACATCAACGTAGGTAGGAAACTTCAACACATTAACTCGGTCCAGAATAGTACCCCGCAATCATCCTTCGAATTTCCACGCCTTCTTATATTCCGCATCTACCATGTGAGGTGCAAACCGGGCTAGCTCTGCGAATTGAGCTTCATATTCGGCAACAGTTTTGTTTCCTTGTCTCAATGTTTCGAATTCAGTCACCTTCTTATCTCGTATACTCTGGGGAAAATATTTATCATAAAACAGCGCCAAGAACCTGTCCCATGTCAACCCCTGGTGCATTGTTCTTGTAAGCATCCACCACCTCCGTGCTTCATCTTCAAGAGTGAAAGCAGCAAGTTGCACCTTTTGAACTTCAGTACAAAGGAAAACTTTGAACAATTTTTCTATCCCTAACACCCATGCCTCAGCGTTCATTGGTTCAATTCCTCGTTTAAACGATGGTGGTTTCATCTTTTTAAACTCCTTTGTAAGTGTAATAGTACGGTCCTCAGCGTGAATATCTTGCACTACAGGTGGGGGTACTGGTGGTGGTGGTGGCGGCTGTGGCTGTTGTTGTTGTTGTTGTCGTCATAGAGTTTTTGCCATTTCCATAATCATTCTTTCCATCCTGTCCAACCGTGCTGAGGTAGCATCTTCCTGGTCTTCGGTCCTTGTTCTCACCATAGTCTACAAAACAACCAATTACAACATACACAAAAGACTACAATAGACATTGATCATCATCATTAGCGTTAGCAGAAAACATTTAACGTTGCTATCACTCTTCCTTTACTACATGATGCCTACATCTTTCTAGACATCCTAAAGCTCAATGGATCCGTGTGTGAGATAGCAACTCGTGCTCTGATACCACTTGTCACGCCCCAAACTTGCCCCTAAAATTTCGGGCATGACCTACTCAGAAACAGACACTTACCCTGCTATATATAATATCCGGGGCCTTAACGGAAGCGTTAATATAATAGAATAACATGCAGACACATCCATTGAGCCACTACAAATATTCCAGGATCACGACTCACAAATAGACGTATAGGGAACATACATCTAAAATAAGGTACATACATACGCATACGTTTACAAGTTCAGCCCAGAAATTGGGCACGTACAAAACATTAGATACAATTAACTTTGGCCAACAAAATATTTGTACAAAATGACAAGGTATAGCAAAACTGCACTAGCATGCAAAGGGCTTCTCCAAGTGCCTGGTTGTCCTTAGGTTGACAAAAGATAGATGATATCGATGCTAGGACTGACCTTCAAGTTGATTACCTACAGAATCAGACAAAATTACAGAGTGAGACAAGCTGAGTGAATAACAGTACGTAAACACTTTAATATTCAATTTAAATCATAATATGGAACAGTGCATACACAAAAATGGGTTCCAAGTGGTTAGTCTGATGTTGTTTTATTTTCCAGAACGGCCTTGGGCCTAGTCATAACAGAATGGCCTATTGGCCCAGAAATACAGAACAGCCTTTTGGCCCAAAAGTATACAGAACAGCCTTTCGGCCCAGAAATATACTGAACAGCCTTTCGGCCCAGACATGTACAGAAATGTACATAATCCTTTTAACATTACATTTTCGTTGAGTTCCAATCAACACATATGTTAATGTCGTAACTGTCGGAAAATAGAACCTTAATCGCAGATATTAACAGTAAATAAATGTACATTCGGTGTACTGTTACTCACAGTATTGTTGCGGAGCGGTGGTTCCTCTTGTGGTGTGTCCTACACACATAGATAACACCTTAGTTTCTTTCTCCTTTTAAACCATTTCTTGCATTATTACATTTCAATTACATGTACAATCATCAAAAAGTATCAAACACAAATTCCGAAAAGAGCTAAGGGTTAAGCATGTAAAACGGAGCGAATGGGATTTTTGACCTGGGCCGCACGTGCGGCCAACCCCTCCGCACGTGCGGACATGGGCCGCACGTGCGGTCCCTCTCCACCGCTCGAGCGGCCAAAAACAGTATGCTCTCCCATTTTTTTTCGTCTTCTTCGTACGTGGGGCCACGACCTCCGCACGTGCGGTCTGGCCCCTATTTAGCAGTCCGAAAATCATACAAAACCCCATGTTTGGTGATCAACAACAAGGCCTAAATTAGATGCTTTAAATGCTAAAATATGGTGCAAAGATCATGTAATTAAGGGTACAAACACACCACCATTTGAATCATGGAAGATCAATTAATCATCACCACAACCTATGTCTACACATATATACATATATAGCTATATATATACACATATGGGTTCCAACATGGTAATTTAAGAAACAAAATTAAGTTGACACAAGCAAGTAGTAGAATCATCTTACCAATAAATCAATACATCCAAAACCCTCATCACAACTCTAGGGTACACCATAACAAGCAATTCCTTCTCCAAATTAAAAAGAAAGGGTTGAATTTGGGAAACTTAGACTTACCTTGAACTTCACTAGCTAGATCTCCATTCAATCTCACAAGCCTCTACCTTCTTTGATGAGCTACTCCTCACAACCCTTCTCTCAACTAAGTTCTTCCTCCAGGAGATATTTCAATAAGCTTCTAAGTCAAAATGATCCAAGAACTTTGATATATAGAGATATTTCTATAAGGGTGAATAAGACAAAAATTCAATCGTTTAAGCATCCCAAATTGAAATTCCATAGAAAATCCCATTATAGCTTAAAAATCATGCAGATTTCAAATGTCAAATCAATTTCAGAAAATTAAGTCTCTAAGGCTTCCAATTCCGGATTCAAACAGTTTAAGTGCGACAGATAATTTTCTTATTCAACAGATAGGAATCCATATTTCCAAGTTTCATTTAATTCAATGTAGTTTCACATAGAATTTCACAATAAGCATTCAAAAACACAGAATAGAGGACTGAAAAGATACCAGAATCATGTACGAGGGTCGGGTTATTACACTCTCCCCCCCATTAAATAAGTTTGGTCCTCCAAACTTGTTTTACCTTAGGACGGAAATAGATGCGGATATTGGTGTTGCATTTCATCTTCCTTTTCCCAAGTTGCCTCGGTTCCGTAGTGCTCTTGCCATTCCACTTTTACCATTGGAATTTCTCGGCTCCGTAACTATTTTACTTGATGGTCC